TTTTAGAACAAAATATGATTAGGTACTTCGGTAGCACAGATCTTATACGTATATCTCTACCAAGGGAGCAAGCTAAAGCCAATTTATTTTACCTCCCACGGGAGGTAATATCATTTTTTTCTTGTGGCTTGTGGGAGTAAATTGACAGGTTTGTGTCCCTTAAAGAGGGAGCAAACGCCTCCTTTCCAAGCAGTGAGTAGATAAACATAGTAAAATTCTGATAAAACTTTACTACAGACTTTTTGGGACATTCTCTCGTCGTTTCTACAAATAACAATATGACTTATCCGATGAACCAGAAAACCGAACCAATTTTCCAGTGTAAAACTCATGCGGATCTGAATACTTGAAGCTTGACCATTGTAGCTTGGCCCTTGAGATGCGCAAACGATAAACAGAGATGGTTGCGACAAAGATCCACCTACGTCTTTGATTTGGGAAGTACAATCGTACTTTATTGTTCTACACGACTGGTCTACTGCGCATCCAATTCTCAGAGAGGCCAAGCTGAAAACGTTTCACTTGCAAATCGTGTAAATTCATGCAAATTACCTCACAATAAAGTGCAACTTCTCAATCATTTTGCTCAGGATTGTGATTGGCACAGGTGCTTTGGGGCCATATGCAACTGATGACAATCGAAATTTGCAGCTGGCTCTTATTGGACTAATGGGATGGTTGAAATGATGAGGATCACGAAAACATACAACACGGCTCCCTCTACTGCGCATGTCTCTTGTCTTCGTCCGTGACGTGACACTGTGAGGTTATGAATGTTCTGTATATCTTTAAGAAGAATCGAACTTTGCTAGTACACTTCTATGAGTAGGTCATTCGGGAACGTAGTCATTGTTTTTTTCTTCAGCCAGATTGACTTTTTATTTGTTAATATTTTATGAGGAAGGAACAAACACCTCTATGAGTAGGTCATCCGGGAACGTAGTCATTGTTTTTTTTTAACAAGCTTGATGGGACATGCGCAGTAGAGGGAGCCATGTTGTATGTTTACGTGCTCCTTAATGATGTATTAGCTATTCTGTATCCAAACAAGATGTTTCGCCTTAGAATACATTATGGTAATTTCTATCTCTATTTTTCAGGTACTTCTGTATGCAATGGAGACTCAGGTGGCTCAATGGTATTCCCCAGAAGAGGAATTCAAGGCCAAACCACGGTTTGGCAAATCAGAGGAATCGTTTCAGTTGGCGTGGCACTCCAAGGGGAAGGAGTTTGTGATACTTCGCAATACATTATTTTCACCGACGTTGCCAAATACCTAGTTTGGATTCGACAGACCTTATTAATTTGAAATACTTCCACCTGATTTCTGACTGATCAACATATATAATTGTTGGAACTTTCAACATTGTTTTTGACGATCTCGAATAATCATTCCCATATATCACTCAAATCATGTCTTTGATAATATACCTAAGTATAGTTGCCGTCAACAGTATAAGATAATGAAAAAATCGTAAGAAAAACGCATAGTTTTTTCTTCTCCATCTCTACCTCATAGTGTTGGGGGCAAGTGGTGCAAGAATTTGAAATATCTAGCTAATGTTCAATATCGAATGTGAATTCACTAATTCTCTTCGTTTGGAAATATGATTTTCTTGTGATTTATCCATATTTAGTGAAAAGAAGGAAGGATATCATTTGAAATAATGGCGTGTGTAATGTCATTCAGAAGCACTCTGTTGACATTTGACATCTCGTATCTGGTTTGACTATTAATTAAATGGCCGTCATCTGGTATGCTTGTTCACTGAATATGAGTGATAAAGTCGCCATAAAAATCATATTTCCTGTTGAATTTTCTGTATAAAAATGTGTCATTGAAGTACATCATGAGTAAATAAAGTGTCCAATGACAAAATAAGAAGAGCAAGTACCTGTAAATCCATCCAACATAAGGGGAAAAAGGAGTCGAAATTTCGAACTTTTTTTTGAAATATCTTCGATAAATAGTGGTTTGTTCACATTATCATTGTCAAATTCGTGTTTTTCAGACAAAAATACGTAAGTACCAAAAAAAGTTTCGAAAAAAAAAAACATCGTATGCTAAATGCAGTTTTCCCAACTAAACTTTATTAGAAAAAAATTGCAATGGAACCATTGAATTATTGGAATGTCCACATTTTGTTCGCATTATTCCACCTATCGCCCCCACGTAACACTTGACGCGGCAGATGCAAAGACCCGCGCGGCAAGGATGTATGTTTTTTTCGATGCAGGGTCGGACGTGATAATAATCACACTTTTATGCGGTCCGCGAAGCTAATATAGCGAATTTGTCTTCGACCGGACAGTTGTTTACTTAATCTATTTATTATTTAAGAATATCAATAATTATAAAAATATGAAAACATTCTTCAAGTCTTGGGAATTACATGACGGGTCGGATGACTCTAATGACAATAATGATTTTCAAGCTGAATTTATCTAATTGCGTGAGTGAGCAGCTTTTTCGATAAATACACCCAATACTTACAATAAGTCAAATACAGTGAAGACGTAAAAAGTCTTTAACTTTTGAACAGAACAAGCTAGCGAAGCAGGTAAAATTCAGGTCAAATGTGGGCACCATCAACTTTTTTTTCAAATGTAGAGAAGGATCACGTGATATCTACCTTGTTTTGAAGGCTTTCCGATTCTCTATCCAACACCGTTTCGTTCCTGCAAATCGGCCAAGACTTTAATTGACAAGCGTTTGAAATTTACTTCGGAAACTGTAAATAACGTTAGGATTGAATTAAAAAACGATTTTCTCGTGTCAATAAGTGAACGATGAACATTTCTAGCATTCTTGAGCACTTCACAATAATTGTTACTTGAAATTGCATTGCAATTAAAAGTTATTTTCAGGTTTTTCATCAATTAATATTAATATTTGAAGCAAATTCCAAAACCTTGTCATTTTGCAACCGCATGGCCGATTTGGTCGATTGGCCGATTTGACCACTTGACACAAGGCCACGTGACCACAACCATTTTCATGTCAAAGAGTTGAAAGAGAAGTAGCTTTTTACCTTTTCAAAAGTTGAAGGGGAAAAGGACTTTTCACGCTCTCACTGTATAATACAGTGCTCTTCATAATATTCTAACAATGGCTGGATACTCTGAAAGGTTGAGTCCGATATTGAATCAACTTATTGATAACATTCATACTTAGCTGGACAATCTGCACGCATCACAATATTTCTTCGCATATGTACTAATCCGACCCTGGTTGTCGGCATGGGAGTGCTAATCGACCATTTTTTGCGTCTTTTTTTATTTATCTTAAATGTCTGACGGCAACTATAAATGTTTTTATTCAGAAGGAATATGTTTTGACTCGTTTCTAGGAGTTTTATTTGTAATAAAAAAGTGGTTTGAACCTTTTTGGAATTGTAATTAATATTCATAGGAAACTTTTCTTCTTTGAATAAATGGCGTTGATTCACGATTAGAAATGATTAGCATGCCATTGAATATTTTCGAGTGAATCGATACAGAGTCGATCCATTAAATTAATTATTGAATCCTGAATAAGTAAGCAATTCTAGGAAATTTTGGAAAACAATAATCTATTTTGGATTCATTTGCAGTTTTTTTTCATGTTCTGGTTCCCACGAAAAGGGATATCCTGTAATGTTCAGAGAACGTCGTGAAAACCAAGGGAAATGAGGTAGGAATTGGTGTTCTTAAAGTTCTGGAGGTTATATGCCTCGGGGAACACCTCCCTTGGCAATGTGTACCAGAGCCTCGCTGTTCGTTGGATGAACGAGTCTTTTGAGAGAGATGTTGTGCAGGTCTCCAAAGTGATCACGAAGGGGTGCGAAACCCCAACTCGACGGGTTAATCTCGCGTGGACTGCCAAGGGAGGAACAATTGTTGATATTTCAGAAGAGCATCGTTCATGAAAATATTTATGAAATAGAGCCAGATCGCCAACTTTTCTACGGTGTTCCAGAAAAGTGAGAGAGTTTGTGAGCGAGGCATCACCTACAAGACGAATTGCCCTTTTTTGGACAGAATCCAACAGTTTCAGGGTAGGTATGTTTGGGTGCTGCACTCCAAATATGGAAACAGTATTCCGTGCCTTATAGATCATAAGCAGCTGACTGGAAGTGAAATAGCTCCTGGCCTCGTCGAGTTGAGGCTTCGCACCCCTTCGTGGTCACATTGGACATCCTGCAGAACATATCTTTCCAAAGACTCGTTCATCCAATGAACAGCGAGGCTCTGGAACACATTGCCAAGGGAGGTGTTCCCCGAGGCATATAACCTCCAGAAATTTAAGAAGAACACCCATTCCTACCTTATTTCCCTTGGTTCTCACGAAGTTCTCTGAACATTACAGGATATCCCTTTTCGTGGGAACCAGAACATAAAAAAAAACTAATATACCGACTCCCCTTTAACGAAATCGTGACATCAGTATTTACTCGCGGTAAATTTATATCCGTTCGAAAATTACCGTGGCATTATTGATGATTTTAGCACCTAAAAATCGACCGAGGAATTCTGAAAAAATATGAAATCGAAAGGTAATTGAGTGATGATTCTATTTAAGAAAAAAAAATCCATGCACTCGTCTATTCTGCTAGGAGTGTTTTCATGTCTACATCTTGTCACCAAACAATACCTTACCTATACTCATACATGGGATCCGGCAAAGAAATAATGAACACTCATTACTTTATAATCTGGAGGAAATATTCAAATAGCGTTCATGGATCGTAATTTCAATTCGGTGCAAAGAAGAACCTCTAAATTATCGGATTAGTCTTATAAATATGATAATAACTTGTTTTCATTTCATATTGCAAGATGATAATCAAGTATTGTGGTTGGGTTTTGAGTAAATACCTTCTATACAAATTTCTGCTTAGCGAATAAGTGGAATGGAATGATGTCTAGTGAATCAAAATCGATAGCAATGTTATAGAACTCAACTAACTGATAGTTGTGAATAACTTCCCTTCTATATCTGTGGAATTAACTACATAATAATATATTCATTAGGACAGAAAATTATTTACTATAGTATAATAATGCAAATTCAAGTGATAACCTTTCAACTAGCAAAAATAAGTAATAATAATTAAATAGTTATAATCTTATTTTGATAGAAGGAGATGATACGACTGGTGAAAATGGTAAGTGAGATAGTGATATTGGTACCTGATTATATTTCATGCAAGTCAACTGTGTTCTATTGCTGACCGCAAATTTTTTTGGGGATATTCTTTGATGAAAAACATTGTATGATCAACAATAATCATGAGAGCCCTGCTTCTTTTCATGTCTACATTATAATGAATAAGGATGCTGTTTTCGCATCAAATGATCTCACAAGTTAAAACATTTAATATCAGTACCTAGTTTTCCTATTTACATATTTTCATTATTTTCCAGCTTTTCGTTTTCTTATTATTATTTATAGCCATAGAAATGGTTGGTGGGGATATAGTATCGCTTTGTCCAAATCAATTTGTTTTTGAACCCGAAAAATCCGAAGATGACCGATGGTACGGAATCATTAAACTAAAAAGTGAATTCGACATAACAGGTGTCATCTTACAGGTACATTTCGACAAGTCAGTAATTGAATTTGGGGTAAGTCATAATTGAATTAATAACTGCAAAAAAATCAGGGAGTGATTCTTTGTCATATTTTATGAAAAATTATGTCTCATAAAATCTTGTAAACGTTGATTTCATGCAATGATCACATTGTGCTGTTGTAGAATGCAAAAAAAATGCAGTGAGACGAAGGAATGGGATTGTTCAGGTAAATTGTGATCTAAAATTGCATTAATTACTCTAGTCACTCACATAATATAGTTTTCATTCAAAACATTTGTCATTATTTTCTCTTTAGAATGCCTTCTGCCACTTTTGCAATAGAAGCTAATACAGTGAAAATGGACAGGACCAAATTTCGTCAGCATTTCAGACCAGTCCGTCCGTTTGACTGCACGATTCCAAGCCTCTTGCCTTATTATAGTCTTCCTATTAGCTCCTATTGCAGAAGAAATTCCATGCACTCTGTCTCTAGATGGACCATTTCAGGTACCTAGTATTGAATTCGTGCATTTTGGTCGCATAAAAGACCAAAACGTCAATGTCATTCGTGGTGAAGTCACTGAATAGCAAAAAATCTGAAGGGTATCTCTCATGCAGTAATGAATTTGGGCCTTCGTAGTGCCCACCTGATGTTAGGTTAGATATTTGTCATTTTCATTTCATCATCTGAATAATCCGAGACTTGTGAGTCCCAAAATACGTATTCTAATAATTAATATCTAAGGTGCCAACGTATACAATTCAATTTCTGATTGTTGGATATTTTGTTTCCAACAATCATATCTGGCAAAATTCATTTTCTTACCCGCCGTAATGTATTTTTTTTTATGACAATAATCCTTGGCCCTTCCTAATACATATAAGAATATGTATACACAATTTTATGATCATTGGTTGAGTAGTTTAGGGGTGAAAGCGCGACAAACAAACTTACATTCACATTTTTATAATATTAGTAGGGATAGATAATAAGCCACTTTGGCACCAGTCAAGGACTCTTAAACTCCCCGTATTACAAATGGGGCCCCGATGGGCGAATCAAATATCTGCTAACGATTTATTTGTATGTTTTATTTCAACCCGTACTTTAATTTTGAAACAGATTCTGACCAATGAAAACACGTACTTTTCATTATAGAACGAGTTTTTGTCGTTTATATAAAAACATCTCGAAAAACATGAAGGTACTTTCGTTTTATCGCTTGGTGCGCACCAAAGGGAATCCCTATAATGTTCTAAGAACGTCGTGCGTATCTAGGGAAGATAGGAAAAGGAGGTAGGTGTTGGAATTTGTTTTTTAACTATTGGAGATTATAAACTCTTGGAAACATTTCCTCAGGCAATGAATTCCAGAGCTTTCCCTTTCTATAGAGAAACGAGTTTTGGTATAGTACTGTTCGACATATTTCGAGGTTGACAACGAGAGGATGTGCAGACATTGTTATATCAGGCATACTGAGTTCCGCTTTTCTAGAGAAAATACAGGCTTGAGTTTTCGCGGCGTTGATTCAAGCAGAGATTATACACCCACTGTCCCAAGTGATCTATGGTTCCACATCTTAAGTTCCACATACTTGTTTGACATTTGATTTCAATCGACATTCAATCAAAATCTTGTTCACCACCAGAAATTTCTAATAGAGCAAAAAGTGTTTGGTAACGAAATCAAAAATGGAATTTTTGACAAATTTTACAGGCAATTCAGAGAAATACAAAAGATATTTCATTATTATCGGAAAATGTGTTGTTAGTTTATGAATTATTATTTTTATTTTATCATTTATTGGTCGTAGAAAAAATAGTGTAGGTATGCAACGATTATGTAATGACTATGAATAGGTAACATGATCGTGCATAAAATACTGTTTTAGAACTACTTAGGTCAAGTTGATGCAAACGATGATAACACCCAGTTTACAATAAAGAATGAGAAAAAACGTATCAACGCTCATACCACAGAAAATATGAGAATTTTTGTTATCTATCATCCTTTATATGATGTCGTACCACCAAACTTATCCAAAATTGTGTTCAACGGTAGAGAAATATGTCCACATTTTGAGGAGCAAAAAATGAAAACTGGACTTGAAAACACGTAAGTAAGTAATTTATCATGAATTCTTATAATTTCAAAAATATTCAAGAGTAGGTATATCTCAATGGTGAGCTTCTTGAACAAGTACCTACTGAATCTAGTGAATGATATTTGTTTCAAACTATCAATGCTTTATAGTCCAAGATCCCAATAAAACAATCTAATATCAAAAATCACTTTTCGAATGATCATTTAAGTCGAGCACATTTAACTGTAACATTATCGTCTTTATGTCACCGTATAGGCACTTCTTCTTTTTTCGAATTTAAAATATGGTTTACATTACATTACGCAATGCTGTGTATTACGCACTTCAAAATATAACGTCATCGTCTAATGACCAATTTATATTATTTCAAATAAAAATACTAGCGAGTCTTAACTGATTATGATATTTTCAGACTAACGAGTATTGCGTTGAACATAAGTGTACCAAAGTGTGGAATAAGAAGACCAACAACGACACCTCTGATAACACTAGGACAAAACACAAGACCTGGTAATCATCTAATAACATTCTTTTAGTTCACTGTTCCTGTCATATACCTTACTCACATATCCTTACCAGTATATTTCTCAATAAATACGAAAAACTCAAAGTCATTTCCACACAATGTTCATGAAATGAACAACAATGGTAGATTTCTGGAGAAAATCAACTACTTTACTGGCTGATGACATGCAGAACATTGAATTACATCCTACCGAAATATTTGCATCGACTCGTATAAACGAATACTGATACAAATGATTCTTTCCTGAATGTCTATTGATTTCGATTCAGCCAGGCCACGCTAGACGCCTACAGACCGGTTTCGAGCTCATTGACTCTCGTCAGTGCAGGGCAGTCTCCAGCTAGCAGCCCAAAGACCGCCGACTAAGCGTAGCCTAGCCATACGAAAATCAAGTCGGCATTATATTCCCTCAGAGGCGTCCCAGGCATTCAGGAAAGAATCACTTGTATCAGTATTCGTTTATAAGAGTCGGTGCATAGATTTCGGGAGGATATGATTTAATGTTCTGCGTGGAATTAGCCAGGAAAGTAGTTGTCTTTCTCCCGAAATCTACAATTGTTGTTCATTTCATGAACATTGTGGCTATTTCGCAGTTGGTATATTTCTCGTTAAAAGTTAAGCCGCAAATTAAAAATAATTTAAATTCCAACATAATAATGATCAGTTATGGTTCTTAGTCATGGTTTTTAAAGGTAAAATGAGAAATTTATAAAGATCATACAAATAAACAATATTTGAGTGGATAGCTCACACGCTTTTAGCCTGATGTTTATAGATTTTTTCCAATATTCAATCTAATTTTCATGATTGTTCCTCCTGAGGTTCCTACTACATAATTCATCAAAGCATATCAAATTATTATGAGTCTCCTTCAGCGGTTGTCTAGTGATGGAAGTGAAAATGATTAATATTTCGACTTTCGCCTCATTTTGTATCTCAGAATCTGAATTTTTTGGACTCATTTTCACGGTAATTTTTGTGTGCTCTTTCTCAAGTGCTTACAATATTTTGATAACAGAATGACACTAGGAAGTTTTCAGGAGACTGGCCTTGGCACGCAGCGATATACTGGAAGTTTGGCAGTCAAAGAAAATACAATTGTGGGGGTACCCTCATATCTGAGTATCATGTATTAACTGTGGCTCATTGCACTACCTCGCGGACTTCCCTAAATTGTACCACAGATTGTACCACCGAGCCAAGAGCCCTGGAGCCTGGAAATATTTTAGTTATCCTCGGTAGGTACTATGCTCTAATTTTTTTCGTGTATGCCCAGGAAATAACTGGACACTATAACTATCATACACAGTGATCGCCATAAAGTTGGTAAAATGAATGATGTTTTTGGAAGTTTCATGCTCACAGTGCCGGTTTTACCAGGAGTCTTTTGGGTGCTATAGCACCAGGCGGCAAAATCTTCAGGGCGGCTATATAAAAATACCTCTGCAAATCTTTTGTCATCAGTCATTATCTGGATATTTTGATTTTTTACGCGAAAGATTTGATCATTTTGAAACTGAAATTTATGTTAAGAAGTGAATCATCCCAAGAAAAGCACAACTAGGAGAAGAAATACGGAAAAGGTTCAAACCAGAAAGAAAAATGGCGGACACAGTGTATTATATTAAATTGCACTTGAAATTTTTCGTAGGACTTCCACCTACTAATCTTGTTCAGAATCATTCGACTTTTTGTTCAAGATAGTGTCAGCAGAGGATGAAAATTTGATCAAATTGGCAACTAAACAACAAAAAAAGTATATGTAGAGGATCTGGACAAATTTGTTTCTGATGAATGTTATTCATCTGAAAGAAAAAAGTTTTGTCTCCTATTATGGAATTAGTCCAAGTTCTACACGAGAATAATGTAAGATAATATCTTCTTCTCCCAATATGAATATTTGTTTTCAAAATTTTGAGCTAACAAATTTGTCTCAAATCAAACAAGATCTACTAAATGGAACTTATGTATAAGTAGAGCTTGTGAAGAGTATCATACATAGAGGCTTATTGCATTTAAGCAAGAAAACACATGTTTGTATTGTTACTTTATGTTCCTAGTTACGTAATTATATTTTCCATTTTGTTCATCAAACTTTTATAAAAAAAAAGAAATTGTGAGCGTAGAACTTCTATGGTATAGGTACACTGCTTATATGGTTATGCCGGTCTTATACAGTGTGAGCCACTTCTAATGGAACCACCCCTGTATCTTACGTAATCGTTGGGTAAGGGTCCTGAAATTTGCTGGCGCGAGAGATATACCAAAAATGCACTCTATGACCAAGTAGGGTCATCTTCAGTGATATACACTGCTCGCCAACAGCCATGAAACTACCCCAATTTCCGGAAAATGATATTAGGAGTAAAAATAGGTCGAAAATCACTTCAAATTTGGAATCAGGAAGCCCAATTTACTAACTATTCAAATTTTTCCTGGAAAATTTTCAATTCGGAAAAATGAAATTTTGTCGCATTTTTTATGGAAGTACCCCCGTATCTCACGTAATTGATCTTTGGACTTTCTCTTCCTCCGACAAATTTCAGAACCCTACCTCAATAATTACGTGAGATACGGGGGTGCTTCCATAAAAAATGCGACAAAATTTCATTTTTCCGAACTGAAAATTTTCCAGGAAAAATTTGAATAGTTAGTGAATTGGGCTTCCTGATTCCAAATCTGAAGTGATTTTCGACCTATTTTGACTCATAATATCATTTTCCGGATATTGGGGTAGTTTCATGGCTGTTGGCGAGCAGTGTATATTACTGAAGATGACCCCACTTGGTCATAGAGTGCATTTTTGGTATATCTCTCGCTCCAGCAAATTTCAGGATCCTTACCCAACGATTACGTAAGATACAGGGGTGGTTCCATTAGAAGTGGGTCACACTGTATATGGTACGCGTCCCCCGGAACGCGAGTTTGCCGTTTTACTCCCATCCCAGAAAACGTCCAACGTGCTTTTAGAATTTATTATCACTTCAAAAATATGTCATGGAAAAAATCCGAAGACCTGAAATATTAGGAATATTTTTGAGTCTGAAGGGCTGCGCGTCGATCATAGCACCAGACGGCGAATTACCTTAAACCGGCACTGCAAGCTCATCAAGATTAGAGTTTATACAAGTATATTTCTCCTAAACATTTCAATTTTCATCTAAATACTGAATCACTTCCACTCATGGACTGGGACGTTTTATTGAGTGGAGATGACGTGAATACCATATGGGAGACTTTTCACAATACTACAAATATCATATTAGAACAGAATACATCAATCAAAACATTTTCGGAAAATAGACTGAAACCATGGATTAACGACAACATCCTCACACAGGTAAAACGAAAACAGACATTATGGAAAAGATTCAAAAGAACAAGAAACGCCAACGATTATCACACTCACAGACGTTTCTCAAATACACTATCTGAATCGATAAAGAATGCAAGAATTTCATATGAAAGGAATCTATCAAAATTTGAAAACTCCAAGAAGCTTCACAAGTACATAAGATCACACCTTAGTTCTAGAGTTAGTATACCTATGTTGAAGAAGACGGATGGTGACATATGCAAAGACAACAAAGAAGTCGCAGAAATGATGGCAAGTACTTTCACAACATCCTTTAACATTGAACCTGAATTACCAAATACAATCACGATTAACTCCGTACGCAACCAGGACAACCTTTCCAATATAAATTTCCCTCCGTCAAAAATTTTGGACAAAATTGGAAAACTAAAATCATCCTCCTCCCCAGGCATCGATGGCATCACTGTCCTGTTTCTAAAAAGATGCAGCGAAAATCTAGTCTATCCACTAAGTATAATTATGAACCGTTCATTCAAAAACTGCTGCTTACCAAATAGCTGGAAGTTAGCATCTGTAACACCAATATTCAAAAAGGGTAACAAGCTCGACCCAAGCAACTACAGACCTATAAGTCTCACTTCAGTGGCTTGCAAAATCATGGAATCAATAATAAGTGATGAATTAAAAACTTTCCTGTTATATCACAAAATAATTCCGCAACAACAACATGGTTTTGTTCCAAATCGGTCAGTTACAACAAACTTATTGGAGTGCGTGAATGTCTGGTCAAAACATTTGGACAATAATACCCCTATAGATATTATTTATCTAGACTTTTCTAAAGCATTTGACCGTGTCCCTAGAAAAAGACTTTTGTGTAAATTAGAACATTTTGGTGTACGCGGGCTACTACTGACGTGGATCCAGAATTTTCTAGAGAACAGATATTTTTGTGTTCGGATAGATGATTGCTTCTCTGACCAATATCCTGTATTGAGTGGAGTTCCCCAAGGATCTGTACTTGGTCCTCTGTTGTTTTTGTGCTACACATCAGATTTATCACATATTTTTAAGTCAACCTGTTCTTTTTACGCTGATGACACAAAACTTTACAACAACACAAAATCACAACATATATTGCAAAATGACTTGATTGCCTTATACAACTGGAGTTGTGAGTGGTTACTACCACTGAATATTGATAAATGTGTTGTACTTCACCTTGGTAAAAATAATCCTAGACAAAATTATACCATCAATGATGTGCAATTAGTTAAGGTTGAATGCCACAATGATCTTGGAGTTACCATAACCAGCAATTTAACGTGGTCACAACATATTTCAAACATATGCAAACGAGCGAATACAAAATTGTACCTCTTGAAAAAAGTTTTTCCGAAAACGTCACCTGAACCGTTCACTAACCTCTACAAAGTTTATGTTAGGCCAATCCTAGAATATGGAGGACAAGTGTGGAGCCCGGAGTTGATCAGAGATCGTAACATGTTGGAATCTGTGCAACAACGAGCAACCCGAATGTCCTTCGGTCTCAGAAGACCATCATACCATGAACGTTTGAATCAGTTAAGCCTGACAACATTCGAAGATCGAAGACATCGTGGAGACTTGATCCTAACTTATCGGATTCTTCATGGATTTCTACCCTCACTGAGTGATATGTTCCAGATAAACGATGATACACGATTAAGAGGACATAATTTTAAACTTAAGAAGGACCATTTCAGGTCGTCAAATCGGCAAAACTTCATAGTAAATCGTGTTTTCTCGGCATGGAACAACCTGGATACAGACATAGTTAATGCACCCTCAGTATCATCATTCAAAAGTCGATTAGATCGTATTACTGAGTAAATTGTTTTTGTTTTTTTCAGTTTGCATCGCATTATATCTGTCTATTTTATTTCGAAATGTTCAATTTCTATTCAACATTTTTAATTGTTTTTTCAATTTTATTTTTAATCTAATTGTTTGTCTAGTAGCTATTTACATATATATATAATATTTCTTTATGTGTACCATACAACTATGTCATGTATAAATGGGCTTTTATAGGTTCACACCTCAGCCCATTATCACTTTTTAATAATAATAATAATAATAATATCTAGTGAATTTTTCTTTTAGGCTCTCTGATAGGAAAATTCTTTGAACGCAGTGACATTTTGGAGAAAATCATCTGATTTGTCCTCACTACACGTATATTGAAATAATATACATATTTTTATTTTATAGAGGGGAGAGGAAATCCAAAAAAATCTGGAATAATCAATGTACATACCGCACCTCCTCGATTAACCTACAGTCAGTATTTATTCCGAAATTCTTTCTACGTCCTGTATGATGGGTATCAACTTGTCATACATCCAAATATTCATAAATTTTCATACCATCAAATGACAAATTTCATTTTGTTTCAGGTAAATATGGTATTTATATAATAAACGGCAGTAATGAACAAACAATAGAAGCTTCTAAAATAACCGTTCACCCCCAGTACAGCAGCAGAAGCCTATTCAACGATATCTCGATCATACATTTGAAGAGACCAGCACAAATGACGAATTTTGTGAGATATATTTGTTTATGGAATGATGATACTTCGTTGAGCTCTGTTATTGGAAAGATAGGTGAGAAAATCAACACGCGGACGATGAATTCCTCGTGGGGTATAAATGCTGAGATGCGTTTACGTTGGGTCAGGTTCGCACCAGATAGCGGTCATGAATGCTATCTGGGACAGCCCTGTACTGATGAGAGCCAACAGCTCGAAACTGGTCTGCAGGTAGTCACGTGTTCCTGAACCACTTAGGCGCAGCTCGGCGTTCAGGAAGGAAACACTTGCGATTTTATTCGTCTATACGTAATCCATTGTTCTGCGTGGCATACCGGGTGTAACAGGATCATGGTACACCCCCTGTATCTCCGTTAGTTTCAGAGGTAATTGATTGGAATTTGGGATATCCCATGAACATAGTGAGAGGCACTTTTTGAACTACAAATGATTTCTTTACCACTTCCGGTTTCGCCGGAAGTGATACCAACTTTCGATTTTTGAATGAAACACCCAGTATATTATTACATTTCTGAAATCTGCATAATTTTCTGATTCCAATGATACCACATAAGTGACATTTCAAACGTAAATTTTTAATATTTTTATTTTTAGTTTTCCATTTAAGTGTGCCATGATGGTTCCGATTTATTCCAATTGACCCGTCTAATGCTAGAAGAATCGAAATTCTCTCAAAAATACAAAATTGCGTTTTTTATGAGCAAATAAAGTTCATCGTAATCGATTTTCGGGTAAAACTCAATTTTTTCAAATGGAACCATATTGGTACCGTGGTACCATTTATTAGTACTATTAATAAGCAATTCATACCTGCTAATGAAATGTGCGATAAATACAATCAAAATAACAGCTAAAAGAAAATAAGAAAATACAATTATTTTGTTCTAATTTAATGCTAAGAAATTACTAAGGTGGCTTTGAAAACAATGAAATTATTCCTTCAGATTGTCAAATAAATGTTGGTTTATTGGTGGTTTATCGGTGATGTCATTGTGTATTGGAAAAGTCTTTACATTTGTTGTTATTCACGTTCAAAATACCGCACATTCATACAAGGGATGAAAAAGTGAACATGTTGATTATTCATTGGGAATGTAGAAAAAATGCCGTTGCGGCTAGAAACCTTTATGCCGACCGATATCCTGATAGACAATGTCCAGCAGAAATTATTTTAATCGTCTTGAAAATCAATTCCGAAGAGAGCCTAACCATGACCTTCCATGATCCCGAAGAAAACTTTATCATTGACATAGGAACGGAAATTAATGTTTTAGCTAGAATAGAAGTTGATAAGACCGTTTCTTTAAGGCAAATTGGGTTTGAATTGGAAATTAGTCACCAAACGGTAAGCCGAATCTTGCACAAACATAATTATAAATCTTTCAAATATCAATTGCACCAGCACCTGTACGAAAATGATCATGAACGTAGGATGGAATATTGCAATTGGATCTTGCAGAATAATGTGCAGACAAACAATGATTTTTTGGGAAGGATTTTATTTTCGGACGAGTCTAGCTTTACAAATATGGGATTATTTAACCGACAAAATACAAGGTATTGGTCACAAGATAATCAAAATTCATTGCAGGAGGGTAACTTTCAAGTGCGGTTCGGTTTCAATTTTTGGTTTGGATTACTCGGTCGTAGAATCATATTTGTCCAATAATATTTGAAAGACCTTTGACTGGAGCTAGCTACTTAGAATTTCTGCAAAATGACATTGAGGACAGGTTAACTGAATTACCTGTCCATTTACGACAGAGAATGTATTTCCAACAAGATGGAGCTCCTCCCCATAATTCAAGAATAGTAATTGATTACCTTCAACAGGCATTCGGAGAAAACGTTATTTCGACGAATGGTCCTGTGCGATGGCCTCCAAGGTCACCTGATTTGACATCTCTTGATTTCTTCGTTTGGGGCCATTTGAAAAACATTGTCTATGCAACCGCCGTTACAACTCGCGAAGACCTGGAGTTGCGAGTAAGACGCGCAATTAATATAACGGCCCAGCAATTAGCGAACGTTCTTCAAGAAACAGCTATGCGAGTTCAGAAGTGCATTGACGTTAATGGACAGCATTTCGAACAATTGTTGTAATATATTGAATTTTTTTTTTGTAATTCAAAGCCACCCCAATAACTTCTTAGCATTAAATTAGACCAAAATAATTGTATCTTCTCATTTTCTTTTAGCTGTTATTTTGATTGTATTTATCTCACATTTTATTAGCAGGTATAGATAAATTGCTTATTAATAGTACTAATAAATGGTACCACGGTACCAATATGGTTCCATTTGAAAAAATTGAGTTTTACCCGAAAATCGATAACGATGAACTTTATTTGCTCATAAAAAACGCAATTTAGTATTTTTGAGAGGATTTAAATTTTTCTAGCATTAGACGGGTCAATTGGAATGAATCGGAACCATCATTGCACACTTAAATGGAGAACTAAAAATTAAAATATTAAACATTTTTACGTTTGAAATGTCACTAACGTAGTATCATTGGATTCAGAAATTTATGCAGATTTCAGAAATGTAATAATATACTGGGTGTTTCATTTGAAAATCGAAAGTTGGTATCACTTCCGGCGAAACCGGAATTGAAAAGAAAATCATTTGTGGGTCAAAAAGTGCGTCTTATTATGTATATGGAATATCCCAAATTTCAATCAATTACCTCTGAAACTAACGGAGATACGGAGGGTGTACCATGATCTTGTTACACCCGGTATAGCCAGAAAAGTAGGTAGTTGTTTTCTCTCGTTTTCTACCATTTTCGTTCATTTTATGAACTATTGTGGTAATAACTTCAAGTTTCTCTCTTTTGTGATCATATACCGGGTGTCCCATTTTAATCTTTATTTGGAAATTTCTCGAAATGTATGCATCTGACAAAAAAAATTGCCGAATAAAAGTTGTATGGTTTCGACGGGGACGTCTGGTTATAAAACAAGTTTCACCCCCTGACCCCCAGGGGAGTGGAAAATGGAGGTAACATTGAAATCTTTAATGGAAACCCCTATTTTTTATTTCAGATTCTGGAAGAGCATTAAAAACTATGAAGCTTTCATTCGGGAACTTTCTTTTTATTTTAACAAGATGGCGCTGCGATCTTGAAAAACGATATTTTACTATTTAGTTTGTAGTTGGGTGACTTTTTATCATTAAAAAGATATCAAGCAGTTCGAATCAACACATTTCAACACCCTGGAGACGAGGAAGAGTGTAGGGTGTGAAATTCCCAGACAAACGCCGTTGGGGTGATATTTTTATTGCAAATTCACACGGTGAGTGATAATTTTCATTGTATGGCAACACCATGTAAAAACAATTTAAATCTGTCACTGTCTCGCGATGTCTCATTATTTACTGAACGAGATTGTAAATATAATTATGTGTGTCGAACGTGCGGATGGTAATTACCAAGAGGCTGAGCGCGAATATCGACGTCGTTCTATGTAGAGGTGTCAAGGTAAGTAAGTTCGTTTATCGTTAATTTGTCGTGTGAATATCACCCCTATGGCGTTTGTCTGGGAAAATATCACACCCTACACTCTTCCTCGTCTTCAGGGGGTTGAAATGTGTAAATAGTAATATATTGTTTTTTACGATCGCAGCGCCATCTTGTGGAAATAAAAAAGAAGTTCCCGAATGAAAGCTTCATAGTTTTTAATGCTCTTCCAGAATCTGCAATAAAAAATAGGGGTTTCCATTAAAGATTTCAATGTTACCTCCATTTCCCACTCCCCTGGGGGTCAGGGGGTGAAACTTGTTTTATAACCAGACGTCCCCCTCCAAACCATACAACTTTTATTCGGCAAATTTTTTTGTCAGATGCATACATTTCGAGAAATTTCCAAATAAAGATTAAAATGGGACACCCGGTATATTCCGTATCAATATACAGGGTGTTCCTTTAATGATGTGCTGATATTCAAGGGACCGATTCCTCGACCCATCTCAAGAATAAAACTTTATATGAACATATGTCGTGAACGTCCTAATTTTTGAGATACAGGGTGTCAATGTTGAAAATGGATTATTTTTTGTTCACCCTGTATAGCTTTTCGTGATGACAACATTCAGTCTGCTATGTGACTGAATCGGTATACAGATTTCAAAATTTTACATACGGTGGTTATCCAGTAATGGGTGCCCTGAATGGAGTACTCAAACATCAAAATTTGAAGACTGGTTTCGTTTTTCCGTTTTTTCTCATCTATAGGATTTTATGAAATTTGACAATTTTTCGTCGTTGCTCACTTTTGAGTAAAATATAAACAATAATTTTTCCGTAGCGGTGCCACTGGTAGAGAAAATGGAAATCTTTGTACATCAGAAAATGAACCTTGATGCATAAAAGACGTGTACCAAATTTCAAAAAGATGTATACAATATTATCTTAGTTATCATAAAAAAACTGAATATTTTTGAAAACTTAATCACCCTGTATCTCAAAAGTTAAGACTTTTAGGACATACGTTTATAATAAGTTTTCTTCTTAAAATGAGTCAGAGAATCGCCCCCTCGAATATTAGCATGTCTTTAAGGAACAACCTGTATAGAGAGTCCCGAAACTCAACGTCATCCTCTGTAGAGCTGATAGTCCAGCTCATGACTGACCAGAATATCACAATATGAGTGATAATTATGACCTTAGTAAAATATTGATAGTTTTGGAGATATTCGCACTTTCATGAATTTCGTGGAAATAGAAATCTTTGAACAGTATTTCGAGTGCCGCAAAGGGAAAATCTGAAAATGGAATAATATACAGGGTGTCCCATTCAAAAAATCAAAGTTGTTGCTACTTTTCAATATAAGCGGCAACGTCGCAGCACCAAGAATATTTTAGGTCGATAGAATACAACTAATTATCCAAGGCACCAACTTTTCAGCATGATCCTGAGTTGCGTTCTCCAGAAACGTCTAATAATGTGCCATCCACCGTGAATCAGCCTGTATATCCGAAAAAAAGTACTTACTTTTTTCCAATGGGAAAAAAATGATTTATGAAAAGTGACATTTCATAGCCTGTCAACAAATATGTTTCAAACATTTTGTTGAGGTGAAACTAAAGATACATAACATAATTGCTTCGATCACAGGATAATGCAGAAGCTCATAATCAATCATTTTCATTTTACTACCTAATAATCTTCTTTACTATTTCAGGTATAGCAGTAGGATGGGGTAGGAATCATCAGGACAATCAGCTCTCTGACCTTTTGATGCAAGCTCAAATGCCAGTAGTGGATACTTATACCTGCATATATTCGTTTCCAGAAGTTTTTGGACGATTCACAAACAACGAAAATAATTTTTGTGCAGGATTCAGAAATGGTAAATAAATTGTGGAAAACTTTTTTCAACATGAGATAGTGTTAAACAAAATCGATTCTCGAATATTTGGAGATATAAGTATTGGAATTTGAGATCTGCTGATGTGAAAAACTTATAAAATTCAGTGTTATGACACAAATGGATGTAGTGTGTACTAATGAAAATTTCCAAGTACCATTATCTTGAGAACAAAATAGGAAATGTTAAAAAAGCCAATACCAGTCATATAACTCGAATATATTTCCATACATAAAAAAACTTCCGAAATAAGGAAAGGGAATTCAGAATCACAAGTAGAATCGAGAAATTATAGTTTGTTCTATTTGAAATTAAGTTCTGCATACTTTCGGTTTAAGCGACTGACGATGTTACTTTAAATCCGAACATACGTAAAAAAGCTAACTATTGCTAGACAAGGAAAGAGTTATCGGATCTCTCTATATTTTAATGCGGCCACGTTGGTAGCACTGAAGAGAATGATGGAAGAGGAGAGAACTTTAAAGAGTTGAATTGACTTTGGATAAACTATATCTGGTTCCTTATGGCATTACCGGTCTATAGTAGTTATTGTCGGTGGTAATAAAAAAAGGCCTTTATTTCCAACAGGTTTTACACCCAATAACAGGAAACACTACAAATAAATATCAGCTTCCGATTTATAATTACACTTTCGACAGAATAACATGACACAAAGACGAGGATTAGATAGATTATATCTAAGAAATGCAGGATACTAACCATAACAGAAGGATGATCAAAACAAGATGTACAACTATTTATTAGATCTGCTCGGTATAGGGTTGACAGAACGAAATCAGTCCCTCTGAAACATTCCACCTTCATTAACACTTAACACAATGTATTCTTTACAATGCTTCAAATAAGAATGAATAAACCTAAATGCCTTCTGATTGGATACAGTCATTTGTAGATAGGTGACTAATCCTTATGTAACCACTAACTGTAGCTCTGTGCTTCTAATGGCATCTGGCTAGTCGCTAACATATTTTACTAGTGCATATAATTTATTAATCACGTCTCTCAGTGAGTCATGATTAATATCACATGTATGAGAAATTTTGTTGAAGTTATCACACATAATATATATTGGAGATTTCAGCATAATAATTATTCTTGTTCTATTAGCAACATTGTAGAACATAAAAAAAGAAACTCTAAGTCATTACCACTTTGAGTATTTGGCTTTTTCCTAGTTGATTGTAGAACATGTTTGATTGTCTACTGTTTAATCTTGGAATGAATGAGAAAGTTTATTTCATTAAAAAGTACAGAGCAATCGATTGGGTTATGCATCAATTTGTAAAGAAATGTCACATTCAGAATTATTCTTTCTAGAGAGATCATTCCGAAATTATCCAGAAGGATTTGGTTATCAATTTCTCTAGACGGGTAAGTTCCCTACACCTTCATCCGTAAATATTTCAAAACATTTCTTCAAATATTTTCAATTCGGTTTGAATGATATTGGGTTGTCGGATACCATATTCAAGTTCAGATCTTATATAGGAGTAAAAAAGAAGTTTAAGTGCAAATATATTTTCGAAATCTCCATGATTGCGGTAAATGAAACCTAACACCTTCGGGGCTGCAGATATAACAGTGTCGCTATGATTGTTAAATGTGAATCTCCAGTCATATACAATACCCAAGTCTTTAGCTTCCTCATTTCATTTCAGTAAATTATTATTGATGAAATGGTCATATGGAATTAACATTTTTTTCTGGAATATGACATATTTAAATTAAGACGATCTAAGTCGTACCATCCAATAATTTAGGGACTGTTGTAAGTCATCACAGTCATCCATATCCTCTATAGAACTGAATAATTTCAGATCTTCCGCAAACAATAAGCTGGGACAATTTATCAATGTTGCCATATCATTTATATAATTAAAAAGAGAATAGGTCCCAAATTCGATCCTTGCGGAACCCCAGACGAGACTGTATAAATATCCGACTTGAAACCCATATATTCGACAAATTGTTGCCTACCAAGAAGATAGTTTTTAAAAAGATGCAATAATCCATCATTGAATCCGACATAATGATCCAATTGATCAAACCCTTTCTGAAAATCTAAATATTATAACATCAACTTGACCCCTATTGACCTCTACTGTTGTAATGTCAGCTTCTTGGATGACCCCCAACTACACAAGTGCAGATATGCGGGAGCTATATCTGGCATCCCCCCAATTCACATTACAATATACAAAATAATAATTATAGTAATAATGTTGCTCACATTACAGGTACGTCTGTTTGTAATGGAGACTCTGGTGGAGGGTTGATGTTTCCCATGAGAGGTACAAGTGGACCAAATACACAATGGCAAATACGTGGTATGGTGTCAAGTACAGTACCAAAAATCGACAACACATGTGATCCCAACCACTATGTCATATTCACTGATGTTGCCAAATATTTGGGCTGGATTCATAATATAACAAAATCTTGATATAATTCTGGTATCTTAATTTTTTGATTGAACCACCTTTAAAAAGGTCATACTGCACCATTGGGAATATGGATTACTGTTGTCTTCTGTCTTTTTGATAATGGCATTATAGTAAGATTCAAAATATCAGACAATATACAATAACTACCAGGGTAGATTAATAGACATTTTGGATCTTCAAATTCAGGCCCTCAATCCAAAATGTTCTCAAATGTGATTTTGAAAGATTTAAAAAATATATGAAACTGTTTTCCAGAAAAGTACATACATTATCCAACATAGTTTCATGATTCAATTACATAATATTCATTTCTAGAATGTCAAATACTACTGATAAAATATTAAGTCTTTATAAAACCAATATCCACCAAGAAAACATATTGTTTTACCAGATTATAGACATTGAGTAATACTCTAATACTACTCAGAGTAAGACCCTGATTTTTTCCAGAGACTATATTTATTATGTTATATTTTTCTTGGTTTATCCAAGCATACCTGCCTAATCTAGTGCCTGATGGTCCATTTAACTAGAGTTCAACTTGACATAGACACATATAGGAATAAAAACAAAGAGAAGTTTCTTTATCAAAAGGTAAAACATTGATAATAATTCTCATATCTTGGGGTCTTCTCAGTATGAAGTGAAATAGAATATAGATTTCTACTTGAAAAATGAAACTGCAATTGTTATAATAAAATAATCTAGAGAAAATTATATCACTGTTCTATCTGATTCTAAGATTACACAGCTTTGACCCCCTTTCTTTGCTCAAGTTGAACATTGATATATAATGATGATATATATTCAAAATCTCAAAATGGTGGAAAACAAATCAAGAGCTGATGTAGGTCAACTGAAAGGAGCTTCATCAGAATGGTAGGAAATCAATAATTATTGGTGGTCTCACTTCAGATGTGGAGCAGTTTGCTTGGTCAAATAGTGAGTATTTTGTGTGAAGGTATATATTTGTTATTAAAAAACTCTACATCAGTATTGGTTTTCTAATGTTTTATAAAAAACTAGTACTTAGTGCAAGATCTAACAGCCTGTGATTTCAATTGTGAATTGAAAAAAAATCATAATAGGTATATTTAATGGATTATTCAACTCAATATGAGAAAATACATAGCAGTATTTACATTTTATGACTCATTTATTATTTAACTATAACATGACATAAACCTGTCTCAATGTGAATAGACAAATCTACCTTTAAGAATTCTGTTCATTAGAACCCTTCTTCCTGAGGCTATTTTCATCCTAGTCACCCAACCATGTCTCTTGATTCGCCTCCTTTCTGAAGGTCTTGGAAAATGGTTTCTTATGACTGTCCTAGTGAATATGTTGAATATGCCTCCAGGATTTACAGCTGAAGCAGATCCGGACGTGATACAATGAAAGTTGTTGGAGGGTTGAGCAAATCTACTTCCTATGCTGGATGTAATCCTTCAATAAGATATTTTGAAGATAATGAAACTGAGATATTAATAAAGATTGGAAAATGGAACTTACGAAGTTAAATAACGAAATTTTGGTATGAATGTGGTAATGAATGACATTATTCCAGAATACAAATATAATAATTTGTGTGAAGATATTGAGGTTATATTCGTCTTCCTTCTGTTTTTTATTTAAGGAGCCCCGAGCAGGTTTTTTCTTCTTCTTGTTTTTCGGCTTTAGACCTTAGACAAGATTGACAAAATTCAATGAAGATGGTGATAAGAAGATGGTGCGGGTACTCGGTCATTTTTATGTATTGAAAACCAATGAACTCAAGTTTACATTGTGTGAAAAATCACTCGCCAGCTTAATATGATTTCTCTACGTCACATCAAGCGAAACGTTGAATCTACGTTTTTCCACTAGATGGTGATGTTGTGATTGCTGCTGTGACGATAATGAAAATAAAATGGCAAATCGCATTTCAGGTTCGCGGAAAATATGTAAAAGAGGGTTAATTTTACTCGAAATTCGAAAAATCTGCGGCAATTTCAGAAATGACAGATATGTCATAGCTCAAGGTTGGTAGAACTGATGACTATTTTGTATACGAATTATAATCAGTTCTACCAACCTTGTCATAGCTCAAGGTTGGTAGAACTGATTATAATTTGTATAGGAAGGTTGCCTCGATCGATAGTGCGGCAAGGGGGGAAACGGTCACTCGTGACGTCACAGGCAGTAAGACGACAAGTTGTCAACCTTGAAGCAACATGTCATGAAATGTTTACCAAATAGAGTATACAAACATGATACAAACTTTTTGGTCTGCTCAGCATATTTATATTAATTTATAGTATATAATTATAAGTAAGTACCATTATAAAATATGGATATTTACATATACTTCATACTTCTGTATAATACCTTCAATCTTCGAAATGAGAAGGCAATTTTGGATGGATCAGTAGTACAGAGAGGAATACCTATCTGAAATTTTGTTCCAGGGGCTATTTACCAGGTCGTGGTACCATCAGGTATGTGTGTTTTGAGGTATGGAGCATAATTATGGAGCTAGTGATTACTTATGCATTGATTATGAACCTACTCATCCTATAAATATCCTGCAAATCAGATAATGTGAACAAGAAACTACAGAAAATATAAGAATAATCAACTGATGATCCAGAAGTAGTAGCAGTGGACCAATATTCGTACACAACAGATCACTTATTTTATCAATATAACTCTGTATTCTGAAAAATTAACAAACTTTCCTAGATACCTATAGAAAATACAAGAGGAAATAGTATTTCATTGTTTGATTATATTGTAGTCAAAAACAGAGCAATTGATCGAAGTATTTGGGCATAAAAAAATAACAAAATATGATTCTGAACAAAATTAATGAAAAATAACACTACTATTATAAGTGAACCTATAATAAAGGATAGTTCAAGGAATCTCTCAAATAAACATAGCTCCTCTTCGTTGGGTAACGTACTCTTGCTCAAATATCTCAACTTGAAAACACGTGTGATATCTTCTGATGTCCATTTTACCCGTTCAGCAAGAATCTCAACATTCACAACTGGTCTGGTTCTGATCATTTTTCCAAACTTCCATACTTATGGTGTTTCTCTTGGTGTATTTGGTATTATTGATGGGATTCCTACCTTGAGTTTTCTTCTCTTTGGTGTGTGATTTAGCAATTCTGCTTGTGCCGTTCAATATCCTCGGCATCGAAATGGGCAGAACATATTCGCCAAGTTTTGGTATGAAATGAATTAAAATTACGTCCACAAAATTGAATCCATTTCTCACGAATAGACTCATCTTATGGAAATTAATGGAAACACGGTAAAAGTGCACTTATCATGCGATGGGGTTTTTTTCGAAAATTTTTTTTGGTACTTACGTATTTTCGTCTGAAAAACACGAATTTCATAATGAAAATGTGAACAAACCATTATTTATTAAGATATTTCACTATAAAGTTACAAATTTCACCATCTTTTCCGCCTGTCTTCTGGATCACATTTAGAACAATTTGCCCTTCTTTTTCCATCATTGGACAATTTATATTATATCATACAATGTTGGACACATTTTTTTTATTATATGAGTCAACTAGAAATATGATTTTCTTGTGATTTATCCATGTTTAGTGGAAAGAAGGAAGAATATCATTTGAAATAATGGCGTGTGTAATGTCATTCCAAAGCAATCTATTGACATTTGACATCTCGTATTTGGATTGCATTTGGATTAAATGGCCAATGGCCGTCATCTGGTATGCTTGCCCACTAAATAGGAAAAACTCGCCATAAAAATCATATTTCCTGTTGAATTTTCTATCTTAAAATGTGTCAGTGAAGTACATCATGAGTATATAAAGTGTCCAATGATAAAATAATAAGAGCAAGTACCTGTAAATGCATCCAACACAAGGGGGAAAAGAAGGCAAAATTTCGAACTTTTCCTTGAAATATCTCGATAAATAGTGGTTTGTTCACATTTTCATTATGAAATTCGTGTTTTTCAGACGAAAATACGTAAGTACCAAAAAAAATTTTCGAAAAAAACCCCATCGCATGATAAGTGCACTTTTACCTTTTACATTTTTAAGTTCAAAATGGTTCAAATGTTCAAATCATTGTCTGCTAAATAGAGAAAAAATCTAGTGAGCTGGAATTTCTGGTCATCCCAATAGCTCAGTTGAGTGTAGGACCGCTAGAGGATGTTACCGTATCGTACGATATGATCGTCACTTTTTTCTAGAAAAATTTCGAAATTTGTGGTTATGTAAGTTGTCACTGGTTGTCAGTGTCAAGAGCTGTCATGCCATCGTGACTTGTTTTGAATTTTTTTCTGAAATATCATTCTTTTTCAATTCTCATTGTTCTAATATTCCTTTCGTTTATAGATATAGTTTTGTGTTGTGCTCCCAGTATTATAGTAGTTTATTCTGATTATCAATGTGTAACAAACTCTGTCTCCTCCTATTGTGCCTACCAGAAATTGTGGACCCTCTCAATTCCTGGATTTCCAAGTGATATTTCTTTGCGACAAAGTAGATAGTGTGGATACATTCGATATTGAGTGTTACAGGATCATCACAAGTAAGGAAATCAGAGCCCTGTTCAAATGCTAATAATCGATACTTCCGATTCTACCACTCATTTACTTTGGGTGCTACAAGTTCCAAAATTGAGAACTATTGTAATGTCTGTAACAACCATTTTGAGAAGGAATGATTTAAGGTGACAAAACACGGGAAAAAGTTGCTTAGAAAAGGATCAATCCACTGGAATTTTAAGGGTAAGTGTAGATTTAATATTGATATGATGAATGAATGTGGAAGAACAGGTTGGGTTCTCCTTTGGGCCAGCAGGAAGAAGTTTCTCACAGTCATTGAGCAATGAGCATATGTAATCTCCCAATGTGAATATCAATTTGTTTGGTTTACGGATATTAGTTTTGTATGATTTCACATAGGTATTAGCTTCTCACTTAATTATTGAGTACTATGATAGACTATGATGATACATTATACCTATTATATGAAAATTATTTTTAGAAACCTACTGATACCTGGGTGACTCCATCATCATCATGTAAGCAGATGTGTGTGATGAATTCTTCACTCAACTTATGAAATTTGCTCATCTTAAGATAAGATATTTATTTGCCTGCAAACTACAAAATCAGTACATATAAACAGGTAGAACACTGATTTCAAAAACTTATTACACATAAGGTTTGTATACAGTGAGTCTGATAAATTAAATGCTTTTATTGTAAAGATAGTGTTAAAAATGTGGCAAATTGAAAATTGATCTGTTATTCTAGGATATTCCTCAGAAATGGATAGTTTGACTAAAAATCAATTCATTCAGTTCTTTGCCAAAGCACTCTGTATTGCTGAATGTTGTGTTTAGTTAATTTTCTATCAGAACATTATACTTGGTTCTTGTACATTTTTTTCTCAATATCTGAATCTATATAATGTACAGGGTGTTA